GTAGTAGTAGTAGTAGTAGCAGCCCAAAGCACGGCTTAAATTATCTAAACATGACATGCTGAAAGCCGCTAAACCGCGAAACCTCTGAACTCTCTCTAAACCCAAACCTAAATCCTGAACTCGTATACATGTCCTACAAGCAGTGTCTTGGCCCCGGTCTCTCAGGAGTTCATCTTTCGAGCTTTCGTAAGCCACCTACATAGAACCAGTGACCCGTGACCGTCATTGTGCTTGAAACCTTAAGCCTTAACCATACCTGACACAACCAGCAACAAAACCCAACCAACAAGTGAATATGTATACATACTGAACCTCAGCCTGAACCTTACTAACAACTTAACACATTAACCCGAAACTGACCCTAAACCCTGCCCAAAAGAAACAGCCCCAACAAACCCTGGTCGCATGACCCTTGCTTGATAGCTAAGCTGAAGCTGAGAGTCGTGGAAGCCTTCACGATGTGTCGCCCAGCACAACCCTCGGATCCAATTCCAGACTCGTTCGGGAATGCATTGTGTTGTGCTGCATCGCTGTGGTTTGTTCTGCACTGTGACTGCGCAGTGAAGATATGAACTCATCAGGGGCTTGACATTTGGGACACAGTGCATGCGCACGGTGAGTTCAGGCTACATCATCTCAAACTCAATCAGTCAAGCAGTGCAAACAAGCGACTGAAGCAACAGTTGGATGCAACAGCTGCACAGCACCGGTGAGTTCTGCAATCGTGTGGCGGATGTTGCGGACTCTTTGCTGGAAAGAAACCCACGTAGCCTGAGCCAGCTGACAACAAGTCTTGGTGCAAGGAATGATCACAAAGTCACAATGTCAACTCGACACTCAATCAATGCTCACTAGCCCTCACCGTTATGATCTCGGAACCTCCTGATGCAAACAAGACACTCTCGCCAAGGAGAAAACACACTAGGTGCATCTGAAGAAGACGATGCACTCCCTCGACGACCACTTGGAGCAAGCAAGATGTTGGGGATCATCTGAGGTGTCATGTTCCGTCCACACACTGAAGCACTTCGTCGCCACACATCCGCACAATCTCTGGTCAACTTGTTGCAGCATGACTCGTGCACCGATTGCAAGCAAAATGCACATGTGAAGACATCTCCCGCACTGCTACTGCAAATGACACATGCCAGCTCTGCACCGTCGAACAATAAGCGCTGCTCGGAGTGACAATGCAAAGATGTGGCACAAGAATACATGCGCAACAATCGCAGTGCGTGCACTGGCAACACTGGGCGTTCATGCTTGCGTACTCTCCGCACACCTTCGCCAACACAAGGCATGATGATGTCTGCGTGCTGAAAGCTTCGGGTGCGACTGGCATAGTTCACAGGACAAATAATGCAATTCCTCTCGTCAAGCGAAATCACTCTGCCTTTGGATATGTCATTATGAGACCACTGAACAAGCCTGACATCCACTGCTCCGCCATCTTCTTCCAAGAGCAGTGACAACTCACCTGCGGCAAGTCAAGTTCAAGTCAAGTGCGGAACTGCGAGACAACACAGCAACAAAGCCAGAGCAACGACTAACAACAGCTGCTGTGCGGCGATCTGTGACTCTATGGTAGACAGTAGTTGAAGTAGTTGAGGCGAAGATGAAGAAACAAACTTCTTGCAAATTTCTCGGACTTGGCAGTGCGTCATTGCATCCAAGTGGCGGTTGTCACCAAGAGATCTGGAGGAATTCTTATGCCGATGTGTCAACGCAGCAACCGAGTCTTCTGACGCAAGTTTCCATGACTCACAGAAGCGTGCCGCTGACTGCTTTGAAAAGGCAGAAGAAGCTGTTCCCAGCCGCTGCTTCGGACCAGCCGAGACTGGTGCTGAGTCAGAGGACGAAGCACTTGGATTGCTGCTAGGTTGAGCTGCTGGGTGTTCGTGCATATGATGGGCACTTAGCAAAAACTCCTGAAGAACTGCTTCTGTCTCTGCATCAACTGGAGACAATGTGCATGAAGTCACCGAGGCCCCTGCCACATGCTCGACCTTTGCATTCAACTGCGCTGCTTCAGCTTCCGATTGCTGACTTGTGGCTGCTGCTAGAAGTTTGATGTTTAAGTCGTCCAATTCTGCAACGTCATCTTGATCATCGTCAATGTCACCGTCGCTGCAACAATCAGTTCCACCACCTTCGTCACATTTGTCATCGCCACTGTCGCCATCATCCCATCCATGTAAAGCACGCATCAAGGCCTCGTTGTCTGCTTCTGGTGATGCATCACCGGCTGGCAAATCGTCTTCATAATCTTCATTATCGTCACCGTCACCGTCGTCCAGCTCTTCATACTGGATGTCGCTATCTTCTACAGCCAAAGGCTGTTCTGACTCCTCTGCTGTCTTGCGCTGATAGCGTGCCCGAAGCTCTGCGACCTGCTTCGGCTCACCCTGCAACTGGAAGGACACCGTGGCTGCGTGCGAAGATTCTGTTTCAAGCGCTTGTAGCACCTGCGAGTGAAGATTCAGCCGGCTGCGTGTGTCTGCTCTGGATTTGGCGGCGTCTGCAACTCGTTCGCTTAAGGATGCAATCAGAGATGTCGAAAACACGAACTTATGTTCCTTGCCATCCAAGCTGAATGTGCCGTCGCGTGAGCGAAATGCTTTCAGCATCATGGCTTGGGATCGTGTCACGCATATCACTACCCACACATCCGGTGGCAAGTGCTGCTGAGCAGGCGGAAGCAACAAAGCGAAAACAGTATCCCTTGACAACCTGGAATCCTTCTCATGAGCTCGAACTTGTCGCATGAACATCTTGTTGTACTTAGCTGCCCAGATCTGCTCAGGTGTGTGAGCAATGGCAGGATCGTACACATGGGGGTCACCGCCCACCATTTTGGCTTCGCTACATGACTGCCATCGTTCGGTGTCCTCCAGGAGTTCGCGATGTGCTCCATGATACAAGAAGGCTGATTTCGCAAGTGCTGCTGCTGCAGGAATGATCGCCTTGTATTTGATAGCACCGGCAGTGTACAGAGACACTATCTTCCTGGTGCACACCCTCGATGTGAGAAGCTGTAGTGTCAAGCGGTTGTTCTTGGAGCGTGCCACCGCCAACTTAATCATTGAATTCAAGCCTTCCAACTCTTGAATGTCAAGCCTGATTAAACTGGCAGCCATAAGCAGACATGCCCTCAACCGCCCGTCCGACAACATGCAGCCGCTGACTGCAGCCACCTGGAGTTCCTGGTAGCAGAGGTGCCTGATTTTTCTGGTAGTTGACTCCAACGTCGATGGGTCGGCATCGAGGAGCTCGCGGGCAACATCTGGGCAGCAGAGGATATAACTGAAGGATAAGAGAATGATTCAAAATAGTTGCTCAACGTTCAGCTGACAAACAACGGTCAGATGCCCAACTGAAACCCAAGCTGCAGCCAGCCAACTCAACGACTACAGAATGAATGAACTTCAGAATGATAGCCCAACAAACCAACAGACTTTGTCAACAAATAACAATTAACAAATTGGGGGGTTGTTAATCTGGCATGGCTGCCTCGCCGGACATCAGAAGAAAACTCTGGCGGTGCTTTCAGAAACCAAAACATTCGGAATGGCCACCTCGCTGTGCAGGCTGGCAAACACCAAGCAGACACAACAACTTGTCAGCTAAGCAAAACAACACATACAGCCAAAAAGACTCTCAATTGAATACTTGACAACGACAAGCTTCTTGGAAAACAGTGAGTAAACGCGACGCTTGAAAGACGCGTGGTTCAACAGCACCAGCTTGGTTGCCATGATTTCCAAGTCTTTGAGATCGACAGCGGTCTCTGCATTCCAGCAAATCATTTGTCGGAGTTTGTCCCAAGTCGCACGAGTCCATGCCGGTACCTCTTGTCTCAAACGAAGGAACTCCTCATCGATCTGGTCCAATCTGGTGGTGACGAAGTCAACTATCGGAAGTTCTGATGTTTGGCATGGACATGAATCCGGTGAGCGAACTCTAGCAGACATCTGCTTGGAGTATGATGACAAGATGTTAAAGAGGTGTCTCACGGGCTCACGAGACTTGTTGGCAGCCCAAACGAAAAACCAGAACATTGGATCCTGCATGCACTCAAGGCTTCCCCTCACCCATTTGGACACACGTTGACGGTACTCTTGCGCTTCCTCCATGCCCAGCTCGTCGTCGCAGTCTGCGATGGCTGCCTGTGCCTCTGGCTGGCCTTGCTGGTTTATTTTCTCATTGTACGATCGCGTTGCAAACGTGGCCAAGAACACACGCACAATGAAATCAGGTGGACCAGTCAGCAAAAACTCTTCGGAACCTCAGTTCAGGATACCGAACGCTTTGGGACTATCTCTGCTGATAATTATTTATTACTTCACTATACTCACAACCAACGTGTGCAGCTGCAGAACCGTCAATCGAGCCCCACCTTCCTGCCACCGCAAGTGGTGGCACATGACACGAAGCTCTATACTCCCACGCGTGTGGCACAAGGGCCTGCCAAACCTTGCTCAGCTTCACTCCATGTGCCCTCCACGTGTGGCAGATTTTTGCGACTGATCCAAAGTACCCATACTTCCGGCCATGTGCGAGGAGGAGCTTGTTGATGAGACGTGTGAGGTCACGACATAGGAGATGCAGCTGGTGCTTCAAACAAGGTGACTCAAATATCAACTGATTGGAATACCTATCTCCATCCATCAATGTCCGAAGTGAGGAGCGCAAGCTGGTCTGATCGGTGCCACAGTCCCCCGCAAGTGACCAGATGTGTATGTAGCAAGCAGGAAGAGAACCATTCCTGAGACTTATGATGTTGACTGCTATCGATGACTTCTGAAACAATTGTGTTTGACATCGAAATCGAAGATGAATCTACAGATAATCTACACTGCACACTGCACTGCACATGCCAGTAAGCCTAACACTACCCTACCCCGTCTGTAACCAGACGGGGAACCCTAAGCCTAACACTACCCGTCTGTAACCAGACGGAAAACCCCTAATATCCCCGTCTGTAACCAGACGGGGAAC